CCTATTGCTACGAGCTCAGCCTCACCACGGGCTCGGGCGAGAGCGAGTTCAAGTTCCTCAAGCCCGTCCTTCCCAGCCTGCCAGCGCAGCGCTGCAGCACGGGGGTGTCTGGCGACGATGCGGAGCGTTTCCCTGCTGTCCCTGTGAGCGTGGGGGATGCTGATGTCGAGAGCCCCGGGATGCAGTCGGTGGGACAGTTTAATGGCTTTTAGTTAGCACATTAGGGTCTGCATTAGCAGCTGATTCATGGCTTGTTTATAGCGGCTTATGTTATTTGATAGTTAACTCCATGCCCCATGGTTAGATCTGCATTTGTAATTTACATCCCATTTCACAAGGACGTAACTGTAATTGGAAGGTGTGGATAATAACAGGGGAAGTGAGAGTGTTCTTTCTGAGTCTCACCTAGATTTCAGTCCCTCAGCCTTGTAGCTCTTGCCACAACAGAAATTGCCTGTCTTTCAAGACGTCCACACACGTGTGTTTATGCTGACAGCCCATCTGTCATCTGGATGCGGACGGAGGTTGCAGGATGTGAGGGCTGGATTTTGTGCCATCTGTTAAGCGAGCAGAGTTCATCAGTTGCAACGGTTGGCTTCCTTTAGCTGATGAGGGCTTCCATCCAAGCCTTTCCAGGCACGGCAGTGGGTGAGGAGAGTGGGACCTGCCAATGCTCCAGCCGGGAAATACCTTTGTCCTGCTATATTTGAACTTCCAGCCAAGTTCACTCGATGCACAGGGAGTTGCATCTTTGCTTTTTGAACGTGGGCTGCATTCTCTGACGTTAATGGAAATCATGACAATGGTAAGAAAGTTTTGTTTCATTTTGTTTCATTATGGAAGTTCCTTCTGTCTCTTCTTTTGGTTCATGCTAAATGCCATCGGTGTGTGCTGCTATCCTTTGCAGTGAAAGATTCTTTTTGTGTTGGAGTGCTTTTGCATAAATGCTTCAGTAATTCTAACTTGAGATGGAGCAAGAGCAGATAGACCTGGGGCAGAACTGGCATGGCTGAGGATCCACTGGCAGTCTACTGGGCAGCATCTCAGTGTCTAAGGGAGCTCTAAGAGGGATTGGTTGTTTGTGTTTGCCTGAATGCTACGTGTTCCCTCTACTCCCTTAAGCAGCAACAACACAATGCATGTTTTATACGTGACATGGAAAGACAGGATTACGATGTGTTCTGTCAGTTTCTGCACTGCCTCTGTAGTGGGGTTCTTTGCACGGTGCCCAGCTCATTTGGTGTCCCATGTGCTGGGTGATCATTTGGGCCATGCTTATGCGTGTGGAGGATGCAGAAGTGCAGAGCTGCAGGGCTCAGTGTGTGGGGAAGTTTTCTGAGTGTTCCCTTCATTAGCACTGAGTCTGTACAGCCGGTGTCCTTGTGGCTGGAGAAAGGAAGGGCTGTGTGCAAAGGTATTGAGCTCCAGAGGGAAGCTGCATTGGCCATTTGCATCGCCCATTCCCGGAATGCTGAGTGAGAAGGAAGGTTTCTGTGCATGTTCTGTGCAGGAAAGTGTCAGAGAGAAATGTGCAGCATGTTTTGAGAGCTGCTGTGGTGTGCTATGTGTGGAGCCGTGCATTTCAAGGGCTGCAGGCATTGCATTCTTGCTCTGCTGAGTTGTGCTTCTACCTGTGAATGCTGTGTGTTTTGCCTCCTGGTCATGACGTCTCTCCATCCAGATGTGCCCTTCTGCAGCCACTCTGATGCATTCTGCTGCAGCTCAGCTGTTCAATTGGGTCATTGCTGAGTGCAGCAGCCAGCAACACAGCTGCACTCGTGGTGTTAGGACACACCATAACACATAGGCATGCAGACCTCTGTTTTGCCTGGGCTGCAGTGTGCTAATAGGAATAGTATTGGTCTGCATATCGATGCACTGCTCTGAAAGTAATGCCTCCTATTTATTCCCATAGAAACTTCAACAATGAGTTCAATAACTGTGGTTTGGAGCAGATTCACATCTACAAAATGCTATTTTTTATCATAGTCACCATCACAGCCATGCATATTGACCAGTGGTGCACAGGTGTCTGTATACTGTGCTCATAGTAATCTTCAGTAGTCGAGGTGACCCTCTGTTGCTACTGCTAAAACACAGCACTCACTGGTTCACGGTGCTCACATCCACTGACTGGACTGCATAAACATTCAGCAAATGTTGCTCAAATCCATGATGGAATATTTTCTGCATGGAGAAATTCATTGATAATTGGAGTTTCTCACATTCTTCTATGTCAGATGGCATTTTGTCAGACTGCCCCTCTGCTGTCATCTGCCAAACGGTAACAAAAGGCAATAGGATATTGGTGGGAAGGTTCAACCTCGGCTGCCATACCTTCAAAATCTGCCTTGTCTATCTTTGGGCTTCACAATAAAATGGGAGGCAATGCTTTCAGAGCATCCCTCATTGGTATCACAATATCATTATGAAAGTAAGAAAACATTTAAGTTTGTCATATTTGTCTGTAAACTCCATTAAAAGTGAACAAGTCCATAAAATTAATGGGATGTTTGATGCTTTTTTTCACTGAAACCAATGCATCAGGCTGGTTTGGTTGCAGCGGTTGCAATTGTTACTGAGATCTCAATGACTTCATGAAAGATTTTTGATGAAATGTCACTCCTCCTATATTTCATTCTTGATAATAGTTCTTCACAAATGGATATGCTGCCCAAGAGTAATGACGTGAATAAATGGTGACGGTGAATTCAGTGATGTTTCTCTTTGATATGATTGTGAAAGTCTTCCCCAGCCAGGTCTCTAGCTGCATGGACCAAGGTGCAGATTGCAAAGGTAAGAACTGGGAGGAGGAAGATCTGCGTGCTGTCAGTGAAGATCGAATTGTTGATCATCTAAAGAAGCTGCAGACGCGCAAGTGCGTGGGACCCAGTGAGATCCATTCACGGGTTCTGAGGCAGATGAGGTTGCCAAGCCTTTATCCAACATATTTGACGTGTGATGGGAGTCTGGTGATGTTCTCATTGGTTGGAAAATTGGACATATAACCCCCATTTTGAAGAAGGGAAAAAAAGAAGATGCAGGGATTTGAAAGCCACTCAGTCTCGCCTCTGTGTCTGGCAATATCGTGGAGCAGATCATTTTGAAGACCCTTTGGAGGCACCTGGAGAACAGAGGAGGTGATTGTTGGAAACCAACATGGCTTCAGCAAGGGCAAGTCATGCCTGACAAGCCTGGTGGCCTTTCATGATGAACTTACAGCATCAGTGGAGAAATGAAAAGCAACTGATGTCATCTATGTGGACTTGTGAAAGGTTTGCTAAGGTACCGCATGACATCTGGTCAGCAAATTGGAGAGAAATTGATTGATGGACAGACCAGTCAATGCTCAAGGAATTGGCAGGATGGTCACGCTCAGAGAGTTGTAGTCAATACCGCACTGTGCAGGTGGAGACAGTTGATGTGTGTCTGTCCTCAGGGATCACAGCTGGGAGTGGTGTTGTTTAACATCTTTAACATGTCCGTGGAGAAAGATTTGGGGTTGTCTATTGATGAAAGACCTACATGGGCAGCCATAGAATCTTAGAATCATAGAATCACAAGACTGGAATGGACCTGCAACATCATCTAGTTCTACTGACCTCCTATCACCTTTGCTGCCAAAAGCTCTGAACCATATCTTGTAGCTCCTCATCCAGATGCCTCTTGAACACTGCCCAGGGACGACAAGTCCACCACCTCCTTGGACAGCTATTCCAGTGCCTGACCACTCTCTGAGAGAAAAAAGTTCTTCCTTATGTCTAACTCAAACCTCCTCTGGTACATCTTGCAGTCATTTCCTTGCGTCCTGTCTGTTGCCTGGGAGAAGAGACCAAACCCCTCCTCATCCCAACCTCCCTTCAGGAAGTTGTCCATCAGTGACCACTCTCCGGTCTTCCTGGATGAATGGGTAACCTTTAAGATCCCTGAGAGGGGAGACCCAGTTACACGTTTCCCTGTGGAAGCTGCTTATAACCTGAACATTGGCAACAATGGCATCCAGGCTTACAGAATTGTTCCTGAGAATGAGTTCTTTAGTGTCTTCATTCAGAGTGAAAGTAACAAGTATGTAGAACTGGTTTTGGAGAAGCCTCTGGACAGGCATTCCAGTGACCAGGCTGACCACTCTGAGACAAGAAGTTCTTTCTCCTGTTGTACAACTTGTGGCCATTTCCTCGGGTCATGTTTGTTGCCTGGGAGAAGGGGCCAAACCCCTCCTCATCACAACCTCTCTTCAGGAAGTTGTAGAGTGCAATGAGGCTTCCCCTGAGCCTCCTCTTCTCCAGACTAAACAGTGCCAGCTCCCTCAGCTGCTCCTTGTATGACTTGTGCTCCAGTCAACTCACCAGTTTTGTTTCCCTTCTCTGGACATGCTCCATGGCCTCAATGTCTTTCTTGTAGTGAGGGGCCCAAAACTGAACACAGTACTCGAGGTGTGGCCTCCCCGGTGCTGAGTACAGGGGGATGATTCCCTCCCTGCTCCAGCTGGCCACACTATTTCTAGTGCAGGCCAGGGTTTTGTTGGCCCTCTTGGGCACACTGTCGTCTCATATTCAGCCAAGCATCAGCCAACACCCCCAGGTCCCTTTCCTCTTCACAATCATCCAGCCACTCAGCCCCAAGCCTATAGCTCTGCATGGGGTAATTGTGGACAAAGAGCAGAACCCGGCACTTGGCCTTGTTTTAGCTCATCCCATTCACCTCAGCCCAGTGATCCAGCTTATCTAAAACCCTCTGAAGGGCCTCCCTACCCTCAGGCAGATTGACACCGCCTCCCAACTTGGTGTCATCTGCAAACTTGCTGAGGGTACACTCAATCCCCTCATCTAGGTCATCAATAAAGATATTAAACAAGATGGGCCCTAGTACCAATACCTGGGCAACACCACTTCTAATGGGGTCACCAGCTGGACTGATCTCCATTAACTAGTACTCGTTGGGCACATCCCTCTAACCAGTTCCTTACCCAAAGAAGGATATACCTGTTTCCAGGCCATGAGCAGCCAGTTTCCCCAGAAGAATACTGTGAGAGACCGTGTCAAAGGCTTTGCTGAAGTCTAGGTAGACTACATCTACAGTCATTCCCTCATCTACCAATCTGGTTAAACAGTTGTAGGAGGAGATGAGGTTGGTCCAGCATGACCTACCTTTCATGAACCCATGCTGCTTGAGCTAAATCCCCTGGATGTGCCATGTGATCTCACCCAAGATGATTTGCTCCATGTCTTTACCTGGTACCAAGGTCAGGCTGAGAGGCCTGTAGTTCCCTGCATTCTCCTTGCAGCCCTTCTTGTAGATGGGAGTCACATCGGCAAGCCTCCAATCCTCTGGGACCTCTGCAGCCAACCAGGAGCGTTGGTAGATGGTGGCGAGCGGCTCAACAATCACCTCCACCAGCTCCCTCAGCACTGTAGGATGGAACCCATCTGGCCTGGGGCCAGTGTGACAGTGACAGTCCAGTCCAGATGGAGGAGGAACTCTCTCCCTGTCTCTGCCTGAATAAATGGTGTGTATTCCGAGTAGCATCCCAGACTTCCACATGCGGGCTTGATGTTCCCTGAGAATAAATGATCTGCCTAAGGGGAGATGCAAAGAAGGTGTTGAGGACCTCAGCCTTCTCTTTATCCTCAGATAAGGAAGTAGTATTCATTGTGCTTGGATAGACTGCAAGACAAATCCAGGAATTTTATCAGAGCGCAATGTGTGAAATGGAACAGTGACAAGAGTGTAAAAGCGGCCATCAGTTTTGTGCAATCCCTTTTAATCTGGGACTGCTGTTTTACTGGAACAAGTGACCTTTAAGATCCCAGAATTGACTGAACCTGCTCACGCTTCCCTGTTGTGTGTGCTCAGGGCCTGGA